TGTCTGCCTAGGCCTTGCCTGACTTGATCCCCTAGCAGATGATGCAACTGATTCTGATCTAACTTGTGATCGAAATCCGGAGTCTCTTCCTCTTTTTGGTGATGCTGGGCTAGAAGAAGTACATGCCCCTCTTTGATGTCTGAACTCTTGAGTCCCCAAATCTCTCATTCTGATCCCTTTTCAGAGCCTTTGTACGATTGATCACCTCTTGGAACGAGGACAAATTCAATACTATCAGCATCTCTTTCAATCTAGGGCGTAAGCCCTCCAAAAACCATTCACACGCATATTTTTCAGTAGGCACAAGCTCAGATGTAAATCGACTCAGCTTGTTGAACTAACATTCATACTCATATACAGAGCGGTTCATCTGTTTCAAGTTCATAAACTCCTGTTTCATCTGCCGAATAAATTGATTTCCAATGTACTTGTTTTTAAATTCATCTAAGAACAAAGACCAAGTCAACTGATCACTGGACATCTTCATGGTGACGTTCGTCCACCATATTCTCACCTGACCCCTCAGTAACGAGATATCTCCATCTAACTTCTTCACTTCAGAGCAGTGGAGACCATCCAACATGATTTTCAAATCATTTAACCAAAGATCCGTCGCAACCGGACCTTCCTCATGTTCTCCCTTAAATTCGGGAGCTCCCAAACTTCTCAACTCTTTTTCTACATTCATTCTTTGAATTGGTGGGACAGGAGGTTGAAGACATGTCAGAATAGTCTCCAACGTCCTGAAGAAAGTGTCTTGGTCTTGTACAGACACTCCTTGAGATGCATGTCCTTCACCTTGCCTGGCTAGGGCAGGTGAATTACTGCTTTCAGCAGGCCTATCTTCTCCCGCTTCACTTCGGGAGCTATTATGTCTGGACATCTAATAAAATAAACACATTGTTCTATTAGCAAAACATCATACTCATACTATACCAGATCAGAAGTTCTTACTATTTGTTGGTATGTATTCCATTTAAAGACTCTATAGACTCTGGTTTATGCCTAGAATTGGCTAAATCATAGCTCTGATACCATTAAATGTAACACCCTCAATCTATACCCGACCCAGATACGAGTCCAGGATGTCACATTGACTAAACAAAACAATACTCTTAAAAAAACGATAAAACATTTGAACTTATATTATTAACATATAATAATATACATATGTTAATACAAGTTTATCAAAATACTCAGAGCATACACAACTTGACCCTTTGATTACATGTCAACATTAATTTACATAACAAAAGGACCTACTGATTAAGTTGCCTCTGATCTGATAGTTGCAGGAGTAGTGTTATCCAACTGCTTAACCTGTCTCGTTTACTTTATCGGATCCTACGTGTGAAACACTCACACGCTAAGTCATCGACTTAGTGAGACAATATAATAAATGAAAACAAAGAAATGTAATGGAAATGCCATAATAAAATGGAATGAGATGAAATCAAATACTTAACCATGCAGTTTATATCACCATGATCCTTACCTGTAAGCATAATATATTAACATTCATGAATTCGTATTAATAAGATTATTGGCCCATGATACCATAATGAGAACCTAAGGTATATGAGTACTGTGAGGTTGTGCACTATGCTGTCACCACAGCTCGTATAAATACACTGAAATGCCACGTAGAATTACACCGAAGTACCGCGTAGAATTACACCGTAGTGCCATATAAGATTGTCCCTAAGGACCACATAGAAAATTCCTTAAGAATCATATACATATGCCAATGATCAAGTATGTGTCTCAAAAGACCTCACACATGTTCCAAAGAATACATATATGTCCCGAAGGACCGCGTAAACCCTCTACTCTTGGCATGCCAACTATACATATAGTTCTCATCTACATAACATGGGCTTTTTCCCAAATTACATAATATATATCACATAGACCTATCATTTCCTTACCTTAATCACATTGCTCATATAACTTTGCATACATATTCATTTAAAATATGCTACACAATGCACATAGTATGAATTAATATCATGCTTCACAATATGAAATGAATCATGCATCAATGTATTGAATCTACTTCTCACAAGTCTAGAACTAATTATATAATTATAATCATGTTATGTATAAGCACTCACCTATATTTCCTTGCTTTTTCCTCGATCGATCCTACTAGGCAATTGTTCTGGAACTTGTTTAGGCTCTGTATCTACATAGTAATTCATTTATACTTATCAATATACTAATTAATATATTCTAAACTATCATTTCTTGGCTAAAAGAAAAGCCATTTCCATCTTTTAATAAATGTATGCATCGATTCACTACACCATGTATTGATGTATCCCTTGACGGGTGCATCGATGCACTATCTATGCATCGATACATAAATCCTATTCGATGTTTTTTTAAGGGGGTGCATCGATGCACTACTTTTGCATCGATGCACTACTTGTGCATCGATACACTGATGGCATTCGATGTTTTTATTTTAAATTAGTGCATAGATGCACTTCATGTGCATCGATACACCTTGAACAATTTTTGGGATTTATCCTTGATGCATCGGTACACATTGAATGTGCATCGATGCACATAGCCCAGAAATGTTATTTTGAGCACGAAAATCTCTTTATAATCCTCTCAACACTTCATAATTCACCTCATTTCATATCCCTAACTTGCATACACTTACTTAAACTAATTATTATCCATTCAATACTTCTAAAACTTAGAAATCCAATCCTCCATATGGAATTTAAGAATCTCACTCAATTTCCAACATGTTCTAATTTTAATTCTAACACTTCCTATTCCTTAATTAGCTTGATGACAAGTCAAATCCCACTTCTAATTCTATATATTTCAAGATTTCACTTTTCTACTTCCTTTATTTAATCCTTCCTAACTCCATCATCTTTTGATTTTAAGATAACCTAAGATTTCCTTAAGCTTAGTTATCATCTAATGATCAATAAGCAACCTTAAATTCATCAAGAATTTGATTAACAAGAAAACTCACATTTTGCTTGGCTTCATGATGGAGAAGAAAATGAAGAATGAAGAAGAAGAGAAGTCTGGAAACTTTGATTCTCTCCAATAGCTTCCACGTGGATATAAAATATCCTCAACTAATATTTAATTTTTTCCCCTTATTAAAAGACTCATTTACCCCTTTAGCTCCTCCTTCTTTGTTAATTGATCCTACACAAAACATTTCAATTAATTCTTTGAACTTTTCAATTTATCCAATTTGGTCACTGAATTTTTAAATCTCATAATTTAATCACTAACCCAGTATGGAGGATGTTACATTTAGTCCATATTTTGATCTGGTATGGTCATTTTTTAACTCGGTCCTAGAACTTCGATTTTAAATTGAATCTTTAGATTCAGATTACTTTATCTTTTAGATATAATCCTTAAATTTAGATTTATTTTAATTTAGTCCCTTGTTAGGTAATTGCCTTATAATTAGTTGTATATATTTGTTTTGCATGTTGATATGTTTACATATGTATGAGCATGCGAAAGATTTATTTACGAATTAACTGACATCATTTTTGCATGATATGTATGGTACCCTCATAAGCATAACTTGACTAGACCCAAATAATTTGATAAAGGGTAATACCCCGTCATTTTAATTTCGTCGTGAAATAGTTGTCTTAACGTATAAGAAAGTAATTTCCGACAATTTTAAAATAAAATTGTATCCTGTCAAGTCAAATCCTAAAATTTGACCATGCTTAAAAATTTGGGAATGAAAGATGAGAAATGTTCGTCTATTATTTAAATTCTTCGATAAATATCGTTAGAACTTATAAAAGGTCCAATCTCAATGTCTTTAAATAATCGAATATCCTTCTTCTTTTTAATAGGATTGGTAATTTCTAATTTAATTTGTCTGTTTTATTCCATCATCTTTCATGCATTTAAGCTAATAAGGAATCTTAGAATAGAATTGTAGTATTTCTTTATTTCTATTGGAGTAAGAATTCATTGCCTCGAGGTATGAGAGGTCGATTCTTCTCGATAGAAATAATTAAATATTATTGTATTTTGTTCTAAAATTCAAAGAATATTATTTAAAGGGATCTTAAATTAAATTCGAACTCATAAATTTCATTACAAAAACGACTAATTAATCGACTAGGTACTGATTTATAGCATAGCGAGGTGCTAATCTTTCCTCACACGTAACCGACTCTCGGACTCAAATTTTTGATAACGCATACCGTAAATTTGTTGTTTTAATTAAAAATAATATTTTTATTAAAATGACAAATATAAATACTTTTTAGGTGTCTAATCAAACCTTAATTAAATATTATGTTTTAATTAAATAATATTTTATTAAAATGACAAATATAAATACTTTTTAGGTATCTAATCACACCTTAATTAAATATTAGTGGCGACTCATCAAATCATATTTTTTTAATAAATCATGTTTTATCATTAAAAAGTCACCAAATTATTCGATACCAAATTTTTAAAAATCAATTTTAAAAACTTAAATTTGTTTTTAAAAAAAAGAGTTTCGACAAATATCTTTCAAGACAATTATAGCAATTGACAAAAGCCAAAAAAACAAAAAAATATGAATGGTATTATTATATATTAAAATATTTGTGGCCCCCGCTGATATTCGATTCAATCAATTACCAATATGTCACAGAGTACTGCAACTTCACTCACCATTATTGTACGTTAAGTTGGACATCACGGGCTAAGGATCACGTGTATACATTATTTAAAAAAAATAAAATTTAATATAATATTAAAGAAAAATAAAAAGATAAAAAATTTTACAATCCATTATTTTTAAAAAAATAATTAAAATTTTATATCTTATTCTTAAATTTTTAAACCTGTCACTTTATAATTCTTTAAATTCCCATGCCAAGCTTATCATACAATTTATTCTGATTAGGGTTATTTGCTCTGAAATTTTTTTAATTTTTTTTATATTTTATATAATTTATATTCGTTTGTTAAAATTTATTTATTTAACACAAAAATTTACATCTTGACCGAAAAGAAACTCCCAGCACTCGTTATTACTCTGGATATTACAAAAGAAGGAATTCATGATTCCTGCAGCAACATACTTATTACTACACGATAGTCCTTAGAGATGAGACTTTATTTCATGCATGAAAAACCGAGTGGGGAATTCTCTTACTGGCGGTACACAGGAAGCGAGATATGAGCAGAATCCCCGCAGTCCACAAATTCATAGTTCACAGTAAGAGCGTTGGCTGAACCGGTGGGATCAATATGAGAGAACGCCGTCTCCTTGTCTAATCCATGGCTTCGCCGCCGCAAGTATGTATAACTCTCACTGTCACCGACTCTCCCGTCTCCGAGTTGGTTACCTACGCATAAAAACCAAGATTAATTAAACTGTTTATACAGGGGCGGAAATAAAATTTTATATCGGGGGACTGTTGTACCTTTATACAACAGCCGCAAGAGTTTCGCCCTCGAGGACCTACTCTCCCGCAGAAGGAGGCCCATCCGTATCTTTGGCGCCACTCGATGGGCTTATTGCCATCCAAGTCGATGCAAGCAGCGTAGTCAGGGTAGTTCCAGTTGTTCTGGTTGGGCATGAAGTCAACTAGACGAGCTTGGACGTTGTTCTCGCCGGTGCCTGGCTCTGTAGGCTCACATGCTGCGGCGGAACACACCAGGCAGCCCAACACCAAGAGACCTATGCTCATCACGGATCTCCCCATTTCTAGTTTAACTATGAACTCGATTGTTTTGCGTTGCAACCATTTCCGGTGTGCTCCGATTTATAGGCAAATGAAGGGCTAGTTTCTGAAATTATTATTAACAGACCACGTGCTTTAACTTGCATGTAAAGAAGGATCTAGACAGATTGGTGGGGACAGTTGTCTCATTCTTTTCCAAAATTTTATATAAGTTTAGTTTCAACTTAAAATTTCGTCCGTCTCTTAAACATCGATTATACAAACGTTTTTTCACCCACTTTTCAACTTCTCATTATTTTATGGCATGACGATTCTCGGCCGTCCCTTATTTCTTCAATAATTTTAGTGTAAATATTTTAATATTTGATTAAATTAGACATTGTTAAATAAAATTGTTAGTTGATTAACGAATAATATAAGTTACTAATTTATTATTTTTATGTGTGTTTAATTGATAACAATTTATGTGTCACGTTTCTCAAAGTAATGATATATCATAAACTACATCACTAATGTTTTTTTTTGCCTAGCAAGTAAATTTATTAAAAATTTTAGACATAAGTTGTATGATTTATTAAAAACCCTTAAATCTATTTAGAGAAAAAGAGTACACATAACTAGATGATACAACACAGAAAAACACTAAAAAATACCAGCAAAGTCATACCACAAACAACAAACACATATCCAAAACCGTAGAAGACACTACACTGCCAAAGCAAAGCATACAACTTCGATGTAACACAACTTACCACCATACTTCAATTCGATTTCATAGCCATACCACCAAAACTCTCCCACATCTCGCAAAAAGTAACACTCCCAAGTGGCGTGTCAATCCAAGATATAACATGAAAAATGAAGTTGAACTTCCTTAGAGTTTTCAAGCCAAACATCTTCAAACACAATTGATCGTCTCTCCACTGAAAAAAAAAAGAACTAATATCCATCTTGCTTAGCAAGCTCCACAATCACTTCCTGTTCATCACCTTCAATTTGAAATCCCAACTTCTTCCTAGGTGCCCACAAATGCTCTACTTCCTTAAGAATTAACTTTTTAAGATTCATAAGATCCGAATCAGAAAGAGAAACATTTTCACCTCACAAGAATCAACTTGATCCTTAGAATTTTTTTCTTTAAAGCTTTATCCATTTTCTTCCTTTCGGCTGTTGATGACTAATGTGATGACGTAATATGCGTAAGGTCGTCCAAAATATGACGTGATATATGCATATCAGCAAAGTGTTGTATAAAAATGTAGTTTGAAATTTAATTGTTTGATATATTATTGTTAAAAAGTGAGTTTGAAAATATAAAATGTCCATTATGTTGTAAATTGAAAATATAGTATTTAAATTATATTTCAAATAAAACTATAGGATTGCCCGTCCAGCTCAGTTGGTAGAGCGTAAGGCTCCTAACCTTGTGGTCGTGTGATCGAGTCTCACGATGGGCAATTCATAATTGCTGGAGGTTTGCTACGGAAGTTGCTCTCAACCTAGCGTTGGGGGAACCTACTACCCTACCTCCCCTTTATCCCATTACATATGGGAATAGGGTCAACTAATTTATTTATTATTTTTGTCAAATAAAACTATAATTAAAATATAAAAAAATTATTTTAAGATAACTCATTAATAATATTTTTATATATGAAATATTTTATTAAAAAATATATTACCAATACTTTTTAACATGTGGACATAAAATTATTATGAAATATAATTTAAACACTTGTTTTGACAAAATGAATATTACAAAAATCATATTTTTAATTAAAATAAATTATTAAGTAATAAATTATTTTTTAAAGATGTAGTATTAAATTATTAAACTAAGTATAAATACACAATTGGACGGAATCCATGTATTAGGAAGGGTAAAATTATAATTTTTCCAAACACAAAGTTGAAACTGAAAGCTAGAAATCTTAACTTTTACAATTGGTTTGAAATATTTGATTTTACCGTAATTTTTTCACTTTTTTACCCGTTTGACATTAATATTACTATCAAAACGATATTTTTACTTAAAAATATTTTTGAAAAGTCATGCCAAACTAAGCTTAAAAATTTAACTTAGGGATGCGTTTGGTTCACGGAATGTAAAATTATCAGTGGGAATAAAAGATTATCAGGGAATAGGATTACTGGGAATGTTATATTTTGTGTTTGGCTGGTTTAGCAGGAATGTAAGATTATCGTGTTTGGTTAAAAGAATAAAAGATTATTAGAATGTATATTTGATAAATTGTCCTTATTATATTTGTTTTTTTAACAAGTTGAAAAATTATATATTTTCTTTAAAAAATTTAAATTCATAAAATGTATATAATTTTTTTACAAAATTAAAAATATAAAAAGCTTTAATGAAAGGGTAAAATTTTATTTTAACCTCTGAACTTCATATAAAATTTTAATTATAGATTTTTTTTTTTAAATCTAAATAGTTTAAGGATAAATTTGTAATTTAACATTCATAGAATTTTTATTATTCAATGAAAGAATAAGGATATTTTTGAAGAAATTTTTTAAAGGCATTTTAGTCCAAAACATCGGTAATCCAACAATACCTAAGGAAAGTGAGGTAATGACATTCCCGGTAATATACCTCAAAAACCATTATTGGTAATAAAACATTACCAAGAATGACATTCCGACCAACCAAATAAAAATATAAATTCCATTCTCATAAAAATCTCACATTTCCTTAACCAATACACTTAGCTAAATAAAAGGGAATGAGGAAATGGCTATTTGTACGAATATTAAAAAATAATTTTGTCATTATATTTTTTTATCGTTAGTGGTGTCTTTTTAATTGTATTTTTCTCAATAATTGTACCCATGTCCTCCATCAATTCCTAAAGCTGTCATCACATTATTTATTTTTAAAAAAATATACATTCCTCTTGTACTATTTATTTTGACACGTGTTATCTTTATCTCTCTCGTTTTTAACCACATAATTTCTTGTCTTCTTTTCTACTTTTCATTGTTTTGTTCTTTTATTGTGTGTTTTTTTTTTCATAATCAATTTATTATTGTTTGTTCTCATAAATCTCTATGCATTTCAACTGTCATTTATCTTCTTCACATTTTATTTTTCTTTTTTATTACAGAAAATATTCTTTTAAACTAATTTTTTTCGAAACGTGTTATACTTATATATACCCTTTTAACTTTTTTATTTTTATTTCATGAAAAATTATTTAAATATTTATATAAAAATGGTTAAATTAGTGACCAATGGATGTAGATAAAATTGATTAGGTTTGAGGAATGTTCGTACAGTTCTGCAGCTGAAATCGATTTTGACAGAGCTATCAGTAGCAGCTGTCGATTTTGCTTCATTTTTACATTGTAGGATTCAATTAGAAAAAAATTAAAGGACATGGACTAAAATGACAATCTATAACAAATACTATAAACAAAAATGATAAATTTAAGGAAGTACCCCAAATTCTGTTAATGCTAATTAATGAAAATTTTATATTATAGTCCCCCATTTTTATTTCTTTTCAATTTGGTATTAAGATGTTATATTACTTTCCTGTTATTTTCCTTAATGAAATGACCATCCAGCTCAATTGGTAGAGCACAAGGTTCTTAACCTTGAGGTCGTGGGATCGAGTCCCATGGAGGGCATTTCATAATTTGGAGGTCTCCTACGGAAGCTGTTCTTAACCTAGTGTTGGATTGTCCTTATCAATGTTGTGTGAATGCATGATTTTGCGACCGGCCAAACACATTTCTCCATGCTAATCATCGATTGATTGCTGCAATTAAGGGTTGGAGAAAGGGTTTTCGACTGTTGGATGTTCGGTTGGTCGTACGTCGTTGGAGTTTCGGCCGATTGATTGAATTGGTGGCTATCGATAGTGGTTAGGGATTGAAATTAAGACTTTTAGAGATTTTGGATTTTTTTAATAATTATAGATAACAAGAATTTTTAATAGTTTTTATGGTGTGCAGGCACTTAAAAGAGTAACGTCGAAAACGTTAAACACCTACTTTGAGGAAAAAATTCTCTGGCCACCAAAGTTAACAAAGGCTACAGTTTGAACAATTTATTTTTTTCATCAAGTGATTTTTTTCACACATCATAAATTTGATTTTTATAAAATTCATATACAGTGGATATAAAATGATCCCCTACTAGATCCATACAAAATTCACGGTCGAAAATAAAGCGAGCAAATAGCCCCAAATAAAAAATAGGACGTGATGGCTTAGATTAATTATAGGGGTCACTTTACTTGCTTCCCATTGTTACAAGGTTCCCATCATTGGACCACTTTCTGATATTCCAAGTTGAAAACAGGTGAGTAGCAATCATACAACGTTGATTCGTACCTTTTCAAAACAAAATTTTGGCTGAAAATTAGCTTACAAAATTGCCTACAACGGGTTCCAGTTTCTTCTAATTAAACAACTGATATAGGCAATAAACTGATTTCATTTATATCTTATCGTTCCATTTTTGCAATTGCTCTGATTTGTTTTCAGGAATGCTTAGTTCTTCCTAGGAGTACGCAGTTGCATCATTTGGGACTAACCCTTTATTATTAAGACAGCGAGAGGCCGTTGTCTTTTGGTCCCCTCCGGCTGCTGAAGTTAAACCTCGATGGGGCCAGCTGCCTGTGGAGAACTCATAGATAATAGCCGTTAATGGGCTGTTTGGTTCAAGGTATATCTTATTACCGGGGACCTCATTCCTCCATTTGGTTGGTTAATATTCCCAGGCCCTGGTAATCTTTATTACCAACAATGGATTTTTTTAGGATATATTACCGGGAATGTGATTACCCACTTCTCTTAGGTATTGTTGGATTACCAGTTTTTTGGACTAAAATGCCCTTATTTTTTTTTCAAAAATATCCTTCTTCTGTAGTTGAATAATAAAAATTCTACGAAAGTTAAATTATAAATTTATCCTTAAACTATTTTAGATTTACAAAAAAGTCTATAATTAAAATTTTATAAGTTCAGGGGTTAAAATAAAATTTTCCTTTCATTAAACCTATTTATCTTTTCATTTTTTTAAAAATTATAAATTTTATGAATTT